ACCCTTCTCCCCCACCCTGTCATTTCTCCCCACTCTGTCATTTCTCCCCACCCTGGCATTTCTCCCCACCCTGTCATTTCTCCCCACTCTGTCATTTCTCCCCACCCTGTCATTTCTCCCCACCCTGTCATTTCTCCCCACCCTGTCATTTCTCCCCACCCTGTCATTTCTCCCCACCCTGTCATTTCTCCCCACCTTGTCATTTCTCCCCACTCTGTCATTTCTCCCCACCCTGTCATTTCTCCCCACCCTGTCATTTCTCCCCACCCTGTCATTTCTCCCCACCCTTTCATTTCTCCCCACCCTGCTACCCTGCTATTTCTCCCCTCCTTGTCATTCCCTCCCCCCCCCCCCCTGTCATTTCTCCCCTCCCTGCTCCTCTCTTTCCTTCCCCCCTGCTAACCTTGTGTTTACGCCCGGCTCAGTCTTTCTTTTCCCCTTCTTACCCTTAGTTTCTCCCTCCTCACTCTTTTCTTTTCCCCATGCTCTTTCTCTCACCATCCTTGTCCCTATGCCACTCATTATCTCACAATCTGTTTATGCTCCCCTGTCTGCTCATTCACACCTTCCCTCTCCCTTAAGTGGTGCAGGTTGTCGAGCATGAAGCACCCAAGATGACAATTAGTTGAGCCTAGGATAGTGCGGACCCTCTCCACGTCGAGAATCGTAGAATGATGTTACTTACAACAGAATATACATTCACGTCAGAAACATGATATCCAATAATGATGGCATTGGTGATGTACCGTATGGCCCCGGATATAAGCGCAGGCCTATTAAAAGCGCATGCGCTTGTATCTGGAGCAATGCGCTTATGGCCGATCCTCAATTATAAGCGCACCCCTTATAAAACCCTGATATATTATAAGCGCGTGTGTAATTTTATTTATAATTCTTCATTAAAACGGTAACGAATCTCAGTTTTGCAGCGAGGCCACAACCCATTTTCGCTTACATTGACTTTCGAAGACCTCTCACATCCTGCGCGTCCAGTCAGCACGAGCTGGCACGCCCTCAAAGTGAGGTGTTACACTGTATTTTGCCTCTGGGCGCTCGCAAAGAATCGCCCGCGCGCGATTTTGACATGTGACTTTCTACAATTTCGATTCGATTGAAATCTGAAGGATGAGATGTACAATTTGGTGCATTGAAATATATATTTGTATTTGTTATATTATAAGCGCATGCGCTTATAATTTTTACTCAATTATAAGCGCACCCCCCAAAAAAACACTGTTTTATTATAAGCGCAGGTGCGCTTATATCCGGGGTAATACGGTACGTTCAGTGAAGATTTCCTTTTTTAGCAACAATGCTTTACATGTGAAGTACAGACTACTGCACTAGTATTGTTCTACAAATATCTCGATGTTCAAAACAGTGTCCCACCACTCCTCTTACCGTATTGTTTCAACTCCTCTATGTACTCTTGCCCCTGCTGCTGCACCCTTGCGCCACCAAACTTGTGAAGGCACGGCTTCGTCCTGCACATAGCAAGACACTAGAGGAGGTAGCACGCTCACAGGGTGATGCAGGGAGGAGAGACGGGGATACGGGGAGAAAAAAGGGGAGGCAGGGAGGTGAAGAGATGCGAAGGGAAGGGAAGGGAACGGAAGAGAGGGGAAAGGAATGGAGGTAACGGAGGAGAGAGGAAGGGAAGTGCAGGGAGGACAAAGGAAGGGGAGTAAAGGGAAGGGAGGAGGGGAGGGGAATGGAAGAAAAGGGAAGGGAGTGGTAGTGTATTGCGAGGGAGTGAGAAGGTTCTCTGTGAGGGGGAACAGGACAGTGCGACCTGGGGGATGGGGGAGGAGGGACCTAGGGGGAAGGGGAAGTGCGACCTGGGGGAAAGGGGAGGAGGGGGATTGGGGGGAAGCAGGGGGGGAAAGAGGGGAAGCAGTGGGGGAAATGAAGGCACGCAAGGGGGGAAAGCTAGAGCAACGGGGAAGAAAGGGGAGAAACGGAGGGAAGGCGGAAAGGAAGGAAGGGAATGAGGGGTTAGAGGGGGGATCAATAAGGGAAAGGAAGTTGGTACATGAGGGAAAGGAAGGGAGAGAGGAGGACAGGGGGGAGAGGACAAGGGGGGAGAGCGGAGGACAGGGGGGAGAGGACAAGGTTGAGACGCATGCAGGGAGAAGCGGACATGGAGGAAAGTGGAGACAAGGGAAGGACAGCCAGTTTCGTCCCTAAAGGCGGCGAGGTGGCGGTGGAGGCGAAGGCGATGAGAGGGCGATGCGTCAAGCAGCAACGAGGAGGCGGCATGGAGGAAGGGAGGAGCAGACAAAGGGAGGGATGGATGAAGGGATACAAGGAGGAAGAGAAGTTGGGGGGACGGGGGCAAGAGAGTCCAGCAGCACCACGTCCGCCTCTTCTGTGTGACTCTGCCCGCCGCCATCAACCCACAGCACCCCAAGGAAGAGGAGATGGGAGAATTATATCATTTGATTGTTGCCTCTGTAAACTCTTGCCCTTTACGTTAGCTTGCAGGCAAGCGCTCGCTAGAGGGAGAATTACCTCTGATACCTCCCTCCCTGTAGCTTGTTTAATTCACCATATCGTATGCCTACTCAAATCCAAGATTGACTGGTGGTTGATATGCAAATGACATTGTGTAATTGGGTTATTTATTACTGCGTGTGCAAAACATAATGTCAAGGTATCAATTACAAAGAGAAGAGTGATTATATAATCGAAACTGCTATTGATCGCGTATATTCACTGCAAAATGCGGACTCTGCATTAAACTGCATCGGTCCCTAACAAGGACCGAGTATATTTCAACAGTCACATCACGTTTTTCACTGCAGACAAAACGCGCGCGAGATAAAAGTACCCGAATCTGTACAGTAGATTTGAGAGTTTCGACTTTTTGGCGGGCGTTTCAACGAGTGACCAAACGTGATAACCCTGCGAAGCGAGGAGTGATCAAGCGTGATAGCGCTGTGATAATGCGTGATAGCGAAGTACTGTACTGTGACTGTCCGTGATAACCCCGTGACCAAACGTGATAATACGGCCATAATTGTGACTGCGCGTATAATTTCCCGACAAACATCTGGAATTTTTCATCCCTGCCCAGGAGCCCTCGGCGCATTACGACAAATTGTTCGGCGAGTCTGGACAAACTACCCGAAGAAGCTGACGTCATCTGACATTGAGTACGGATTCAACATAATCGAGTGAGGTATTTTCGACTTGGTTACTGCTTCGACGACCATCGCCAACTCTCGTATAGCGACTCGCTGCCAATCGCCTTCATCGCCGACAACTTCGTACCACCCCTGATTTCACGGCCAGAGGATTTCAGGACGAGCCGTTTCATCTCTACTAGCGACAACTTGCCCCACTCGACCCGCCCACGACAAACGTTTTGAGTTCAACTGCTGCCAGCTGCAACTGCTGAAGATATCGCCTGATTCTGGCGATGTGTGGACAATTTACGTTCAGTTCGAGTACTCAACAATTTTCATTTCGGTTCCTGGTCTACTTCTCCGGGTTCGACATCGAAGATTTTATGGGCACTTCACACCTTGTTTCGTCATCGTTTTCCTACACCGACGCCTTTTCGCCTGGACTTTAACGCTCAACGCGTGTTTAAGTGCGACTTAACACCTGAGTCTCTTATTTGGTTTTCTCATCTCGGCGCAACTGCGGGACTTTTCTGGTGTGTTTTCTTGGAAGGGAAAGAAAGTGCGCTGCACTGTTTTCTTTCCTTGGCGTTTCTGACTTTGTCAGGATGCAGTAGCACGACGGACGACTGCGATCGCTTCATCGACATCAACGGTCTCTGCTACATCGCGACTGATCACCGCGTCAGCAGGTTCCCCCACATTCGCGTCATCGTCGATCGTCAGATCGAGTTCAAATTGCATCAACGGCTTCAATTCCAGCTTTCAGTTCGATTTGGTCAAATCATCTGCAACCGTCAGATCAAAATCGAATTTGATCAATGGTCCACGTTCCAACCTTCTCTTCAAATTCGCCCAAGGCATTTCAGCCGTCGGATTCAGCTGAAAAGAAGATCGGCAGTGTCCTTGCTAGTGTGGGATTCGGCTAAGTACAAGACGGCCTTATTTGGAAGGCGGGAGAGTGTAAGGAATTGTAATTCCTTACTGTACTCGCACTTTAGCGAGTACATCCCGAGGGTCACGCGACGAACCTGTTCTGCCTAATTCGTCGGCCGAACCACTCCCGAGTCGGCCTCCGCTTTAATCGCATCCATCACCGAGCCATCCTCGCCCAACCTCCCCGCATTGCTAGGACTTCCCCTATTTAGGCCTCGTCACTTCCATTGTATCGTCATTCTGTAATTCTCATTCTCGTTATTCGATATCTGCGCACTCTGACAAGTTCATTCATAACACAAAGGTTTATCACTTGCCTTTTGGTGGTTACCCGGTTTGTGGTTGGGGGTCAGACGCAAACCAAAGTTCAGTGTTGGCGGACTTGCGCGGATAGTCTCTTCCCCCTTCGTCAGTTGTGACGGGCCTAATGGGAGTTGGGAACTTGATTCCCGACCAGGCAGTTGGTGAACCACGAAGCTTGTGACTGTCGAACCAGCTCACTCATATTCCAAGCAAAAGAGTAGCTTAGCAACCACCGCTCGTATTCCATGCAAAGGAGTAGCTTAGCAACCACCGCCACAGCGCACTGTTATCATGAGATCGTTAGTTCTTCTGACGATAATCAAGACTGGGGCCGTAGCACAGTTTAGCCGAAGTCGTAACGTCGCTCCCGTGCCAGCCCTTCAAGTTCAGCACGCCGCCCAGTATTTATCTCTCCCGCACTTCGGCTCTTCCGCCAGACCTATGGCAGTTCCCCTTTAGTGCGCATTTCGCCGCGATGGCGCACTCAGATCGCCGTCTAGGGTTAACAGGCGTGTCGCATCCCGCACGTCGCGTGCCGTCGTTTTCTCGTCCAAGCAACCGCTAGCCGTCCTATGTCGCCGCCAATCGCAGCAACGGGTATCATCGCGACAACCGGGTCCTGCGCCTAGGCGGCCCATGCGGGCAGCAGCGGCGGCAGCAGAGGGGATGGATGGGGAGGCGCGGCTGTCGACGGAGGAGGCGCAGGTCCTGAGTAGGCATACATGACATTCTCTAGATGATTCACGACCGCCTAGGTCTCTCGCGACATTCGTAAATCTTGTAACATTCTGGACTCTAGTGACATCGCACGCTTCGCTCACCTCCCTTCTGTCCACGTTTCAACTTTCCTCTCCCCCCCCCCCCCCTCCCTCTCCCCATTTCCCTCCCGCTTACTCTGCCTCCCAACAATCTCCGTGCGCCTGCTGCGTGCAGATCCGCTTGGAGGTGATGATTGAGGACCCGCGCGAGGTGGAGCGGCGGCGGCAGATGGGCATCGAGAATGAAATCGGGTGCTCCTACAACGAGATCGTCGATGCATTCCGCGAGGTAAAAAGGAGAGGGGAAGAAGGAGAGCTTGCTATAGCATGGGAAGAGGGTGGATGAGAGGTGGGGATAGGGTGAGGGCGGAGAAAGTGAGGTTGCGGGGGTTGGTTGGTGAGGAATGTGTGAAGGGGATACGTGGCGAAGAGGGACGTTTTCAACACTCGTATTTTGCTCGTCAAAGTTGCAAATCCTCGTCGTGCTCCACCTCTCTTGCTCCCGTCCGTCCTTGGGCGCTCAGGTGTGCACACCGTGCGTCGAGCCCCACCCTTAGCCCTTCTTGCCCTGCATAATCTTTCCCCCTCAGTGCCCTCCCCAACCTTTCCCCCTCTAGTCCCCCCCTCCCTTTCCCCTCTCCCCTCCCTTCCTCAACCCCCACCTGCCCCTGCAGACTGCAGCGGTGCAAGTACAGCATGCTGCAGCACAAGCTAGTTTAGGGACATCTCGATAACCCTCCCCTTCCCCCTCACTGCCCTCCCCGCCCTCGTCTCCATGCCCGTTCCCCTTTGTGTTCCCCTTCCCCACCCCCCACGTGTGCGATGACCCGAAGTCCGTTTGGTGCTTGTTTTAAGACAGCTATGAACATTTCCCTTTTTGCCCTCCCCTACGCTGCTCCCTCACCTCTCTCCCCCGCCTTCCCCTCCACCCCTCTCCCCCACCCTTCTCTCCCTACCCCTCTCCCCCACCCTTCTCTCCCTACCCTTCTCCCCCACCCTGTCATTTCTCCCCACTCTGTCATTTCTCCCCACCCTGGCATTTCTCCCCACCCTGTCATTTCTCCCCACTCTGTCATTTCTCCCCACCCTGTCATTTCTCCCCACCCTGTCATTTCTCCCCACCCTGTCATTTCTCCCCACCCTGTCATTTCTCCCCATCCTGTCATTTCTCCCCACCTTGTCATTTCTCCCCACTCTGTCATTTCTCCCCACCCTGTCATTTCTCCCCACCCTGTCATTTCTCCCCACCCTGTCATTTCTCCCCACCCTTTCATTTCTCCCCACCCTGCTACCCTGCTATTTCTCCCCTCCTTGTCATTCCCTCCCCCCCCCCCCTGTCATTTCTCCCCTCCCTGCTCCTCTCTTTCCTTCCCCCCTGCTAACCTTGTGTTTACGCCCGGCTCAGTCTTTCTTTTCCCCTTCTTACCCTTAGTTCCTCCCTCCTCACTCTTTTCTTTTCCCCATGCTCTTTCTCTCACCATCCTTGTCCCTATGCCACTCGTTATCTCACAATCTGTTTATGCTCCCCTGTCTGCTCATTCACACCTTCCCTCTCCCTTAAGTGGTGCAGGTTGTCGAGCATGAAGCACCCAAGATGACAATTAGTTGAGCCTAGGATAGTGCGGACCCTCTCCACGTCGAGAATCGTAGAATGATGTTACTTACAACAGAATATACATTCACGTCAGAAACATGATATCCAATAATGATGGCATTGGTGATGTACCGTATGGCCCCGGATATAAGCGCAGGCCTATTAAAAGCGCATGCGCTTGTATCTGGAGCAATGCGCTTATGGCCGATCCTCAATTATAAGCGCACCCCTTATAAAACCCTGATATATTATAAGCGCATGTGTAATTTTATTTATAATTCTTCATTAAAACGGTAACGAATCTCAGTTTTGCAGCGAGGCCACAACCCATTTTCGCTTACATTGACTTTCGAAGACCTCTCACATCCTGCGCGTCCAGTCAGCACGAGCTGGCACGCCCTCAAAGTGAGGTGTTACACTGTATTTTGCCTCTGGGCGCTCGCGAAGAATCGCCCGCGCGCGATTTTGACATGTGACTTTCTACAATTTCGATTCGATTGAAATCTGAAGGATGAGATGTACAATTTGGTGCATTGAAATATATATTTGTATTTGTTATATTATAAGCGCATGCGCTTATAATTTTTACTCAATTATAAGCGCACCCCCCAAAAAAACACTGTTTTATTATAAGCGCAGGTGCGCTTATATCCGGGGTAATACGGTACGTTCAGTGAAGATTTCCGTTTTTAGCAACAATGCTTTACATGTGAAGTACAGACTACTGCACTAGTATTGTTCTACAAATATCTCGATGTTCAAAACAGTGTCCCACCACTCCTCTTACCGTATTGTTTCAACTCCTCTATGTGTCAGAACATTATATAGCTTAAGCTGTTGTGTAGGCTATAGTGGGGTATCCCATAGGGGGTACAACCCAATTAGGGTTTCCTATATGTACTCACTTCATTCATAGTTCATCCATTTTCTCGTTCTCCGTCCCACATGGAATCAGAGCAGGTCCCCTCCTAGGGACTGTTTCTAGGGCCCACCGAAGCGCGCCCCGAGGCGCGCTTTCCTTTTTTTTTTTAGCGACCCTCCGTGTCGCCCCTAGCGGCCCGTTGCGCCGCCCTTACCTACGCGAGCCCGCCGCCCTTACGTCGCGGCCCCGCCGCCCTCACGTCGCGGCCCCGCCGCCCTCACGTCGCGGCCCCGTCGCCCTTGCCTACGCGGCCCCGCCGCCCTCACGTCGCGATCCGCCGCCCTCACGTCGCGGCCCCGCCGCCCTCACCTACGCGGCCCCGCCGCCCTTAAGTCGCGGCCCCGCCGCCCTCACGTCGCGGCCCCGCCGCCTTCACGTCGCGGCCCCACCGCCCTTGCCTACGCGGCCCCGCCGCCCTCACCTACGCGGCCCCGCCGCCCTCACGTCGCGGCCCCGCCACCCTCACGTCGCGGCCTCGCCGCCCTTGCCTACGCGGCCCCGCCGCCCTCACCTTCGCGGCCCCGCCGCCCTCACGTCGCGGCCCCGCCACCCTCACTTCGCGGCCCCGCCGCCCTCACCTACGCGGCCCCGCCGCCCCACTTCGCGGCCCCACCGCCTACGGTACCGGCCCCGCCGCCTATCCTCACCGGCCCCGCCGCCTACGACCGCCGAGCCGCCCTGCCGCCGAGCCGCCCAGCAGCCGAGCCGCCCGGGAGCCGAGCCGCCCTGCCGCCGAGCCGCCCTGCCGCCGAGCCGCCCGGGAGCCGAGCCGCCGAGCCGCCCTGCCGCCGAGCCGCCCTGCCGCCGAGCCGCCCGGGAGCCGAGCCGCCCAGCAGCCGAGCCGCCGAGCCGCCCAGCCGTCGGGCCGCCCTACTGCCGAGCCGCCCGACCTGCCCTGCCTGGTGAGCACAGCACCACTGTTACTGCGTGCCCTTCCCCTACTGCTTGCACTACTACACTGTCGTCGTCATGGCTACCCCTAGTGTCCTCGCTTTTGACGCTGAGGGTCGAGCCATTGACTTTGATGTCTGGGTCGACGACCTGCAGCTGTTCTTACAGTGCGATAGGGCGGACGGTCTTTCCCTCTTTGACCTCACCTCTGGCGCCTCTCCTGCCCCTGCTGCTGATGCTGACCCCACTGTTCGCTCTCAGTGGGCCACCCGCGATGCTGCTGCACGTCTTGCTGTGCGTCGCCACCTGCCTACCACTGAGCGCGCGCACTTTAGTCAGTACAAGAGTGCTCAGACCTTGTACGACGCTGTAGTTGCGCGCTACTCTTCCCCTGCCACTGCTGCCCTGAGCCGCCTCATGCTACCGTACCTCTTTCCTGACCTTGCTGCCTTTCCCACTGTCGCTGACCTCATTACGCACCTCCGCACTAGTGACACTCGCTACCGCGCCGCCCTTCCTGCTGAGTTCTGCGCCAAGAACCCCCCCCCATGTACATCACTCTCTATTACATAGTCACACGCCTCCCTGACTCCCTTCGCGTAGTCAGGGACCACTTCCTCTCAGTCTGTCCCACCACTCTCACTGTCGACCTCCTCGAGAAGTCCCTCCTGGCGGCGGAGAAGAGCATCGTCGCTGTAGGAGCCTCTCGTGGTGACCCTCGCACCCCCATCTTTGAGGGGTGTTCTCCTTCCCCCCTGCTGCCCTCTGTTGCCTCTGCTGCTGCTGCCAACCTGCTTGGTCTTGAGTCGGTCTGCGCGGCGTCTGCCCCTAGCGGGAGACGCCGCCCTGGCAGGGGCAAGGGGGGCAAGGGCGCGGGTGGAACTGGCGGGGGCGGTGGAGGTGGCGGTGGAGGCGGCGGAGGGAGTGGGGGTGGCGGTGGGAGTGGTGGCGGGGGCGGTAGAGGTGGCGGTGGAGGCGGCGGAGGGAGTGGGGGTGGCGGTGGGAGTGGTGGCGGGGGCGGTGGTGGCAGTGGCAGCAGCGGAGGAGGAGGCGGTGGTGGCGGCAGCGGTGGGAGCGGAGGCAGCGGTGGTGGTGGAGGTGGAGGCGGCGGTGGCGGAGGGGGTGGAGCTGGTCGGGGTGGTGCCCCGCAGCGTAGCGGCTCTGGTGGTGGCCAGCGTCAGCAGCAGCAGCAGCAGCAGCGTTCGCGGGACATCCCCCCGCCCCAGCAGCTCCGTGAGTGGTACACGCAGCGTCAGCGGGGTGGGGGTTTTGGTCCGTGCACCTACGTCCTTCGTTCCGGCGACCGCGCGGGTGAGCAGTGTGGGGGTGCCCACCCCACCCAGCGCTGCTTTGGCCGCCTGACGGACGCTTGGCGTCAGCAGTTCCCCGAGGCTAGTGAGATTCCCCGTTGGGGAGAGCTGTCCAGGGCTGGCGTAGCTATCTTTGATCTTGACTTTGATGCTATCCTTGCTGCCATGTATGCTGTGACTATTAGTGAGGAGGGTGACTGTTACCGGTGTTTCCCGCCCGACCCGGGCATTGGTACTGCTGCGCTAGGTACTTCTGCGGCTGCTGCTCTAGGTGCCAGTGCGTCTGCACTCTCAGGTACTGGTGAGGCTGCGCTCTCGGGTACTGCGTCGGCTTCGGCCTCCCTCACCTTCACGCTTGACTCAGGGGCTTCTCGCTCCTTCTTTCGAGACCGCACCACACTCACGCCGCTTGGCCGGCCAGTTGCAGTCTCCCTGGCTGACCCCTCTGGGGGTCCTGTCCTCTCTCACTTCTCCACTGCCCTCCCGTGTCCGGCTGCCCCCTCGGGCACCTTGTCTGGTCTGTACCTCCCCTCGTTCTCGACGAACTTGGTGAGTGGTGCTGACCTGCAGGATGCGGGGGTTCACCAGTTTACTCCTGCGAGTCAGCGGGTGACCCACTGCTCGGACGCCCGCACAGGCCGACACCTGGCCACGTTTTCGCGTCGGCCAGGGTCGAGTCTCTACACCCTGACCACTGAGTCTCCTCCTGTCCCTGCGTCTGGCCAGGTAGCTGCGTCGGGTCAGGTGTTTGCTGCTGCGTCCAGGTCTGGTCCTGAGTCTGCCCCCTGCTCGTGTCGCCGCCTGTCTCAGGAGACTCTCCTGTGGCACCACCGTCTTGGCCACCCCTCCTTGCCTCGTCTTCGGGGCATGGCTTCCCGTGTCCTTGTCTCTGGTCTTCCCCGGTCTCTCCCTCCCCTTCCTTCGGGACCCGGGCCTTCCTGTGTCCCCTGTGTCGAGGGGCGGCTCCGGGCTGCCCCTCACTCCTCCCAGTTTCCCCCGACAGAGGCTCCTCTGCAGACGCTTCACATGGACGTGTGGGGCCCGGCCCGCGTCCGTGGGCAGGGTCACGAGCGCTACTTCCTGCTGGTGGTTGACGACTACTCGCGTTACACCACGGTCTTCCCCTTGCGCAGCAAGGGTGATGTCACTGAGGTGTTGATCGACTGGATCCGCGCAGCTCGTCTCCAGCTCAGGAGGAGCTTCGGCTCGGACTTTCCTGTTCTGCGTCTGCACTCTGACCGAGGTGGAGAGTTCTCCTCTGGCCTTCTGCGAGCCTACTGTCGTGCACGAGGCATCCGCCAGACCTTTACGCTTCCGGACTCTCCACAGCAAAATGGGATTGCTGAGCGCCGCATTGGCATGGTCATGGACGTCGCTCGTACGTCCATGATGCATGCGGCTGCCCCCCATTTTCTGTGGCCGTTTGCGGTTCGGTACGCGGCGCATCAGATCAACCTTCACCCCAGGGTCTCCCGGCCGGAGACCTCCCCAGCTCTGCTGTGGACGGGGAAGGTCGGCGATGCGTCTGTGTTCCGTGTCTGGGGATCTCGGGCGTTTGTCCGCGACTTGTCTGCGGACAAGCTGTCCCCTCGTGCTGCTCCCTGTGTCTTCCTCGGCTTCCCCCCTGACGCCCCAGGGTGGCAGTTCTACCACCCCTCCTCTCGTCGTGTTCTGTCCTCCCAGGACGTCACGTTCGACGAGTCAGTCCCCTTCTACCGCCTCTTCCCCTACCGCACTCCTTCCCTCCCCCCGCCACCGCACTTCCTTGTGCCAGGTCCCCCCCCGGTAGACCCCCTTCCCCCTCAGGGTCCTGCCCCTTCAGGTGTGTCCCAGGTAGACGCAGTCGAGCCGGTCGAGGTTGCTGGTG